ATAATTACTTGGTCAAAAATTAATAGATTACACAGAATTACCTATGAACCAATTCATAAAAATGATATTGGATGATAATGTATTGAATTTTCCACTCAACAATACAATACAAGTAATACGCTTTACAATCTGAGAATTATTCATTATTAGAACCTACAAATGTCATAATGTGTAAACAAAGAGAAATGAATAGATTTAATTACACTGCCATTATGAGAATGCAAAACAGGTTACTACATGTCACACATTGATGAATTAATCCTTAGAATAATTACTTACTGGTTTTAGGTCCATAAAATTTTACCATGAATTCATTCAATCCTCCTAATATTGTTACTTCATGGTTACTTTCCATTCTAAACATGACAGTAAAGGAAATTTAGCAAGGACTGAAATATATAATTAATGTTTCATTTTATCTCCAATATGGTGGTAGCCCATATTGATAAAATCCTTTTGAAGACAATCACGAATTTTGTTTGCCAGCATATAGTCAAAACAACAAAACACAGAGTTGTATACATTTAGGTGAATGCCCTTAACAAGTAGGTTCCTGATTTCTTTCCCCCCAGTTGACCCTACACACGGCATAGACATCGTTTCCATAGTTATAAATTGAGGGACAAAGTTACACAGCTAGAAAATGAAAATTTGTCAGTCCCAATTTCGAAAAAAATAACCAATAAATAGTGCTATAAATCTCCAATTGAAAAATTAAAAGCAAATGAGATGAACGTTGACAATGTCAGCCATATCAGCTGATTGCAAGGTCAGGTCACCAGTAGGCTTTTACAGGCTTCACAAATATGCATTTTACCGAAGCACAACATTAATAATTCAGAGAGAGTAAAAACCAAACGGTTATTTTATCCATAAAAATAATGGAAAATTAAACACATTTCCACAGGGCTACAATATTCAGGATAAGGCCACTTCACATGCAATTTTAAAAGAAAGATAATCATAATACATACATGACAATCATTGATGAGAGTCCCTTTCTAGACTATTAAATTAGATCATTCAGGGACAATGTACAAGTACCAACATCAGTCCATATAAAATCAAGAAATACTAATAATACAGTGACACAAATTATTCCAATGCCTGTATGGTGTTGTGTATATATTGGCCTACTGCCATATTGGAAATTTGCATATTTCAAGGGCAATCACAATAATTTGAACAGTAAATTTGTTCTGTATGACCTACATATTTTTTTAATAACAAAGACTGATTATCATAGGAGAAAATTGAAAAATATATAACACAACTTGTATTACAACACTTAAAGACATAGTTTTTAGGCCTTGTATAAAGCTACAAACCTAAAACAGTTCCAAAAAAGAACACACATGGAATTTCCATCTGAGGTCAAGAAGATATAATTAATCAGGCAGATGATTTCATGGTTAAGATTATTTATCATGGGCGTATACTTTCTTTAGCATGGGCAGCACTTCTATTATTCACAGCTGTTTTAATAACAAAAGGTATGTTTATTTTGGGAGGTCTTTTTGATGATGGACATGAAAAAATTAGATTTAGATTTTGACGGAAATATAACTGTTGTCAGTGTTTCTTCCTTAATTCAACATATCCACGGGCAACTCTAAATGAGGGTGATCATGATTACACGACATTTTCATGATAATATGCATAAATCGCTAGAAAAATTAGATGAAATTGGCCCCTACAACAATACACATGCAAATGAATGGCATAATTTGAGAACTGAAGTAATTTCGTCACCAGAATGTAAAACACACGAACATACGTTAAAAACATTGACATTTCCACAACATTCCCTCCAAAAAGACCATATCCTGACAGTACATATCAACGATCGCACGATTCAACCTCTTTGTGTCGAAATTTTAATCGAATTTTTTGGATTTTTGAAGAATTTTTGTCGCCCAGCTGACTCATTAATGGAGTCTTCCGATCACCACCCAAATACCCGGACAACCGACCTATTTTTATAAAATAATACCTAAAGGATACAATTTGATAACATCAGTATCCATGCGCCGTTTTCCAGGACTCGGTGACGACATTTTAGGCCAAACACTAGGAAAATTCCAGGTCTCGTGTAGAAATCTGCCGGTAACAGCGTCAGAGCGACGAGCACTTTGCCAACTGAACAGAACCAAAACAATTGTCAAACTTATAAGGTGGCGTGTTCCATTGGTTATTATGAAGGATATTATATATTCCTTTTGTCTGGTGGCGATCCGATGATACCAAAAAAATAAAGAAGCTATAAGTCAACAAATAAATACTTGATCCTTATCATTTGTGATCAAGAAATAGAAGATAATTTGGCTAGAATGAGTCCGACATAAAGGCAACTCCCCCTGATAAAATATGGAATGTCCCCTGTGATGTAAGAGTCATCCCTCCGGTCATCACGTGATACGGCAACGTGAACTAGGAATACTTCTTATAATTTTCTCTGGGGGTCACATCGTTTACTCTTTTTGAACAAAAAAATAAAATAAACGATTTTTCACAAATGTAAAATGTTAAAACATACGTATGTATTTACAGAATGATTATCGGATGTGCAAGATTGGCTGATGTTACTCGTGACCTCATAATCACAAACCAGCCAATGGCGTCCAATGTTGTGATCAGCTGTGACACAGGTCACACAGATGTAAACAAACGACCAGCTGACCCGATGTAAACACAAATTAGCGAGACTGCGGAAAGCGGTTCTACGTACGAAAGACGAATGTGACGTTTGTGACACAAGGCACTCTCAATACCGTGTATTACAAATTCTAACACATGTATTTCAGTGGCATTTAACTAAAAGCGTCATCAATGATGCAACACATTAAATTGATACACATAAGTTTAACACGTAACGACCTGTTGCGTGTACGGCTCATTCCATGTTGTACTTTTGTAGTCCATTTTCAACCATGTTTCTAAGTATAAATCAATAATTGTGCCGGCTTGTGAGACAAATACTAGAATTCGCAGCAATTCATTGTGTGAATCAATAAAAAAAAAAACAAAGTAAAAACAAATGTACCTTTACTGAATATATAGTACATGTACAACAAAAGTGTAAAACGACGACATCACAATTCCCTGGGATTTCACCAGTTTATATTTATAGGGGGGAATAGTCACTGGGCTTAATTTCAGCAGATTTGTTTGATGTTGCAGATATAACCATTTATTTTTAAATTCACTGGTTTGTGGAAGAAGCAATAGATTCTATTAACTTTGCATATTCACATGGTTTTTAATTTAGTGCATTTAGCTGGCAGTGAAATAAGTCGGAAAAATACCCAGTGAATAATTAAGCACTTTACAGTACTTCAATCATAAATATAATTTTTTTTGTTTATTCATGTTAAAATTCCCCCCTCTAACCATGGTGGAGCTTCATGCTCTAACCAATCAATGCTTTTAAGCAAACAACAATTGGTAATCTGTATCCTTTGAAAGAAAGCCAGTAAAATTTGCATAGGTAACTCAAATGACCTTTTTACAACAATACATCAGGTGATTTGCATCACATAAACAGATTTAGACTATTGTTGCCAAGGGTCAACATTCTTTAATCTTTATTATTACTGGCCATAGACCTTAAAATACATTTTTTTAAGGTTTAATGTACTGATGTAATCGCATATGTCACTGTGTACCTCTGTAATTTGTGTTTTGGGATCCACATGAGCTTGTCAACATGGTGAACCACATGGTGAACCACATTCTTCTTTTCTTTATTCAAATGTCTCTGACTGTCTTGTGTTTTTTTGTTGGCTATCTTTTTGTATTACTTTATTGTATTTTCAACTAAGTTCCCACTCTGGGATACGGTTTCAATAAAGCTTATTATTATTATGGGCCCCAGCGATGGACGGTCATGCAATATAAATGTGTTATTCATTCGAACTAAACTGCAAGACCAGGACAACCAGCTATAAGCTCTATTGTATTGCCGATACTTCTTACTTCATAACATGCAATCTACATCCAGAAAATCTACATACATCTACATTCATTCAGAAAAGTTATTGTTAATGACACAGTCCCTATTTCAATAAAGGGAAATATTTTTCGTATCTAAGATAAAGTAATACTGCGGAATACTTTATTTTTGCTGGAATTAATTTTCGCTGAAAAGGCTTTTTGGGCGTTTTGTGTGGAATTTATTTTCACTGATTTTTAAAGACTTTAATGTGAAATATAGGAAAAAAAGTATATTCGCTGGATTTTATTTTCACGGAATCATCCCTTCAGTGAAAATAAATTCTGAGCGAATACAAAGTATTCTACAGTATTGTCAAAAAGCAAGATGGCTGCAAGTCTTTTATCTGATCACAACTTGAACATATGTAATCAAATTTGATATGGAAATCACTGGTAAACTGTTTCTAAATGAATTTGTGGTGTACATTAAATCACAAAATCAATTGACATGTATCCATTTATTTCACATGTGCTAAACATCAATGAAAACAGCCCATAGGTGGAAGAAATATAGTAGTATGGCCAAAAATATGATTGGTTGCCAGTCAGCAATCAATGATTTAGTTGTGAAACTAATTACCATGAACATATATTCTAACAAGTATAATGTATCGGTATATAGCAAATTTGGAAAAAAAAAAAAAAACTGATAAAGCATGTCCAAGATGCCACATTTAAAAAATCAAAACAGCTGCCAGTTTACCATTTTTAATCTGATACACTAACTGCATGTGCATATTTCACACATGAAGTACTAGGCACAAGTAAAGAAAGGAAGTTTCTATCCAGAGGATTCTGAAATATGACCTTGGACAAACTGTCAGATAAGAATACAATGATTGTAATATGATTTTTATTCAACACAACAAAAAGGATAAAAAAAAAATTAAAATTAAAAACTTATAATGGTTTACAAGCAAATCATATTTTAAAACCTGTACAAAAAAAAAAAAATCCCCAAACCCTAGAATCTATGTTGTAGAACAGGTGGTATTAGGCCAGGAAAATGCAAAATGATTGTCATCCCTTGATGTGATATCTTTAAAACAGTGGATTGTATTTGAAGTTGTATATTTAACAAATGGAGTAATAAGTGGGAAACACAGTTAAAAGTGAATTAGAAAAATAATATTTAAATGTCACACTGACACTAGTTTTTGAAGCCCAAGAGAATCATCCCCACCTTCTGCTATAAAAGACCAGACCACATAAAAGTTTCTGAAATGCAAAAAGAATGATGACCATTTGAAATATAAACAGGATTTCCTCTTTCTAGAGAGTTAATTTTAGTTACTTATTTACTTCAGTCATTAGCACTTATCAGCAATATCATAAATAGCATTTTATTTAGCACAGGTTGCAATCACCTATCCAAAGAAACAGAAATCCCTGCAGCATTGACTCCCTATCACATAGGCAAGAAAAAAGACCTTTTATAAATGTTACTCACACTGCTATATGTTTAATCAGGAAACTGTAATGTATTTGTTACAAACAAAAGTGCTATTATGTATTGGAAAGCTCTTAATTAATCCTGCTTGTGTGGCTGGCTATTTAAAACACCAATGTCGTTTATGTTCATAATTCTGTGCGGCCAATGACTTCATACAATTATACAAGATGATAAATTCATTCGTGAATAATATAAAATAAAAACCAGATGGTAAATAGTGAAAAATAATTAAAAAAATGAATTGTCTAGTTTATGAAAACAGATTATCTTCTCTATTTTCAACTGTTTTTTGAACTGGTCTACCAGAAGCTCAGAATCTTCCTTACTGCCTTCCAGACTTGATTTGGAGGAGTCTGTAAACAAACAAAACAAAATGAAATGCAGCATGATGTAAAAAAAACAATTCAAAAAGAATTTAAATACATATACTTCATAGCGGGATCAGAATAGACATGTGTAATATTCGGTTATCAGGATGACATTTGGCATTGTTAATTAAGAATACATAGTTTTACTTTTGGGGGTTCAGTTTGAAAACATATCATATAACAATTACCATGGTAGAACAAGAATACATTTATTGTCAGTGACATATTCAATATGGCATTGTAGTTTAGACTACCACAATTCTATGCCAAGTTCAATGGCACATGTTTCTGCATGCCTTGAATTGATTAGCATTACTTGACAATATGTATTTTGTGTAATATTTCAATTTTCCTGATGACATACTGGTTCAGTTGCGCACACCAAAAAACAAGACAAATGACATCTTTGAGTTATCGATAATAACACACATCAATAATTATAAATTAGGTTAAAAATAAATAAATGGTTCATTCTTAGACATTTATGCATACAGGTAGGGTTTCAGTGACAAACTCTAGGCATTACAAGGTATCTCGATTATCTCTAAACTGAATCTTGCCATTTATAAAATGTTATGAATGTATCTCATAGTGAGCAGCTATGGTAAACTTTAATTGTAGTTACTTTCACTTCCATATTCCTAACCTCAAAACAGCATTACTGACTGGTTTGCTATGCATGTCTGAAGATCATTGGCTAAATGCAGACATTTACAGGCTTGCCCTAGACATACTGTGAAATACTTTATTTTCTCATGGAATTTATTATTGGAACTATTCAGTGATTCAGTCAGCTTGCATGACTTTGACACCATTTTGTTGAAGTTCATTGCAAACAAATATGGTGGCCATAAGTGAGTCAATGCAGGAATGCACATCTTTGATTGGATAGCTGCCTGACCTTGTGTCACTACAAGATTGAACAACAAAGATTTCAGTTGCGTAATTTTGAAATTCTGATTATATCTAAATCATTCTACCAATGAACTTGGATGTCACAGCACTATTTTTTGGCAGAATTGTGTATTTTCTACACTGTCCTTGTGTGCATGAAATTCTTGCTAAACCTGCCTATGCCGATTTGTATTGTCTTAATTCACACTCTTGGAAAAAACTGTTATTTTTACCAATTTATAAAGTAGAAGCCTACTCATAAATTTTGAGAAAGTTGTAAATTGCATAACAAGTATCATAAGGCTATTGTCTCATGGCACCATGAAATAACATTCTTTTGTGTTACATTGATGTATTTTGAGAAACTTGTTATATTGTAATATTTTTTTAATTCCATAGAGGAAGTTAAAGAACAATTGCATTTTTTGACACTTTTTAAAACCAAAATTTTTGAAAGAAAGTACAGAAAGTACCCCATTATTCACAATATATAATCTTTTCAGCCTATGTCGATCACTAGCCTGCAATTATGGCATATGGCATATTATCTCTGCCATGGGAACCTATGATAAAAGAACTATAACAAGCCATGCATGACACAGTCCCCATTAGTTATCGAATTTAAGATATATAGTTTTGTTTATAGTAATATAGCTGGAACATAACAATGTCAGGAATATGATTTTTTAACATTAAAATGATTGACATTTGTATCTGATCGTCAAACAAGTACTTGTCCATATTGAGAGAAATTGCTCTGGAACAGCATTCAAAATCAGCCATTTTGAATACATGTATATATACATATAACATGATGTATAACGAATATATAAAATTTGAATATAATCAGTCAAAGCATTTAAGAGATATGGCCCAAGAACCCAAATCATTAAAACAAACTGACCGCCAGTCAGCCATTTTGAATCCAATCTGAAAAATAAAATGACATGCATCAGGAACCTGTAATGTCTAATGTATGTTATAAGTTTGAACAAAATCCATCCATAAATGCAGGAAATGCTTGATATTTGAGGATTTTTTTAGCACAAAAATAGCCACCATTTGGCCACTTTGAAAAGGATCGTCAAACCAATATATCCGTATATCTATGACATGATGTCTAATAAATATTTAAAATTTGAACATATACAGTGAAAGCAAGTCAGACATATGGCACAAGAACCACATTCATTAAAACAAAATGGCCGCCAGTCGGCCATTTTGAATCTTATCTGAAAAACAAAATGATGTGCACCAAGGTCCTATAATGATTTTGATGATTTTTAGCACAAAAATGGCCGCCATTCGGCCATCTTCAATCAGATCGTGAAACAAATTGACGTGCATATGTATGATATCATGTATGATGTATGTGTGAAGTTTGATTGTGATTGGTCCAGGCATTTCTAAGATACAGGTCTGGACACACGCACGCACATACACATGGAGGTCAAAACATAAGTCCCTGTTTTCGGACTGCGTCCGAACAGGGACTAATAATGACAAAATGACCACTATCCATAAATTACAACCATCATTTTCTTAAAAATTAAGCTGGTGACCCATAACTTTTTTTTTTACAATTTATTGCAAAATGAGAGGTATTCAGAATAAAATAAATTGTAACAGCAGAAATAAAGATTAGAATAAAAAAAGGAAACATGTTCCATACGTGTGAACAACTGCTTTGATGTGTGACTTCAACACATTCAAAAGCTGATTTGATTTTACACTCTCAGGTTGGAACTCGGCACCCCAACTTTGTTTTGAGCTTCAAACTGCTGCAGACACTATTCCAAGCTCAAGTTTAAGCTCAGGGTGGCATGGCACCCATGTTTTCATGGAAGGTAGATTTGGCTGGTGGAATTAATTTTTTTTCACAAGAGACTTGCGTCTGATTCTGCTGGTGAGTATGTTTCTTTCGCTTGCTTTAATGGGTGATTTAAACCCAGCTGATTTGATCTTAGATGCTCAGGTTAGAGCTCAGTCTTGGCGCTCCAACTTCGTTTTGAGCTTCTGCTATAAACAATTTCCCAAGCTCAAGTTGAAGCTCAGGGTGGAGCTCAAGTTGAAACTCAGGGTGGAGCTCAAGTTGAAGCTCAGGGTGGAGCTCAAGTTGAAGCTCAGGGTGGAGTTCAAGTTGAAGCTCAGGGTGGAGCTCAAGTTGAAGCTCAGGGTGGAGCTCAAGTTGGAGCTCAGGGTGGAGCTCAAGTTGGAGCTCAGGGTGGAGCTCAAGTTGGAGCTCAGGTTGACTCTGAGCAAGCTCAAGTTGAAGCTCAAGATTGCCATTACATACCTGAAAATGAATAATGGGTATTTGCATTCGTGTGCAGACTTCTGCCTTAAATCAAAGTTAGACAACCTACCTGGTCTTTATCTGTCAATCTTTGGATGTTTTCTTTTAAAGGACTTGTCTTAGGAGCCAATAAAGTGAATACTGCTTGCCATCCTGGTATATTATTGTAAGTGGGAACTGGTGAGGATTTGTGATCATCTGATTGCTGCATGACATATGATATGACCCATGGACACCATGCTCTGTGTTCCGTTATAGGATTAAAGGCACTTTTTTTGCTCTCCTACAGGGACAAATGAAATTTCACTTAGCACATTTCACCTCAATGCCATCCGCAGAATAAAAGACACGACTTGTTTTACTAACAAGAACCTCAGAAAAACTGGAACCACCAAACATTTATTTAGTTTTTAGTTATCCATCAGAAGGAAAGTCACCTTCTGTTGTTAAAATCCACAAGACAAATTACCACATAGAAGGTTCTGAAATGCAAAAAAAATGAAAAGAAATGCCATGATATACTCAGTGTCTGTATACGCGTCAACATTTTGTTGTTAAATTAGTGCTGGTCGTATATATAATTCATATGGGAATAGCACAGAATTCTTGAAAACCCAGTTGTATAAGGTCTTTACAGGTATAAGGTTACTTCTGCATATAAAATGGGTAAACCCTGCACTATCATGTCTTGAAGACCCATTAGCCTTGAAACTTTCTCTTACAAAGGGTTTACAGAGGCATTTAAGTTATATGACATACTAGTACATGTACTAGTATGTTAAAGTTGAACTGTCAACAAAACTTAGTTGAAAGTGCTTTCAATTTTGAGTAACATGGCTGAAAATCAAATCTGAAAGTTACAGCATTCACCAGTTTACTGATTGGAAGTTGACATATTGCATCGTTCAGCAACTCCCGGGTAAGTTATTTATTGTCTTCTCTACAATAAATCATATCATACAAATTCTGCTTTGGATGCACAATTAACCTAAGAAGAATGTAATGTCGCTATTCAATATTCACTAGCACGGAGTGGTAACACTAAACATAAATTTTATAGAAAGAGATCTATACAGAAAACTGGTGTGCATCTCAGATTAATCTCAAAGGAAAATATTATTTTTGTCATATAGCCCATCTTTGATCATCAAACAGAGAATCTCACATGCGATTCGATGACTTGATGGCACCCTAAGATGCTGAAAACTCAAACACAATCAAATCCACAGGACTGCTTGGAGATGTTTGCAATTGGCAAGGAAGATACCTTGAGATTATCATAGCTGCTACATTTATTACAGTACACATGTTACTTGAAATGTCAAAGGCTACAAACTAAATAAAATAAACCTTTAATATATAAGGGATTAAAAAAAATGGTAGCCATAGTGATGTTCTTCACTCACTGAGATTTTCCTTTTTTTCATTGATGGTTCTTGAGCACTGTCTGCATCACTGGATTCTACACTGCTGTCCACTGTTGGTTGTTCTTCACTGGTCATCTTATCTGGTTCTGGTTCTACCACTGGAGTGAAGTTCCATAAACCTGCTTGTCTGCGACAATACTGGCATGATACAGTCGGGTATTGTGAGGTCTCACAAGAACTAGTTAATAGAAAGATACAAATCAATATGTATGACATGATGTATGTGTGAATTTTAAACTTGGTCATTTTCAATTTGATCTGCACAACAAAATGACATGCATAAACAAAAAGATTCCATTATGTTAAATGTATATGTACATTGTATTAGCACTGAAAAAATTTGCTAATGCACAACGAAGACTTAGTTTCGAAAAGGCAGAAATGCTTGATTTTAGGTTCATTTTAGCACTAACTTGAATCAGTTAATAAAAAAAACATGTATTTCAAAGTCACAGTCATTGAACTTGTATATAATAAAGTGGATATATTTTATTGTAAAATATCACTGGTAAAAGAAGTTTGCAAACCTGTGTTGTAACTAAATCTGAAAAAACAACATTGTTGGTAAATGGTCCACAAAATATCCACGTCAGCGAGATAATTGAGTTGCAGAAATTGTACTTGTAGCAGTGTTCATAGAGTTAACTGAATGCAAAAATGTTTAGATTCACACTAATAAATACCAAGTTAGGGGGCATGACTGGAAGTGCAACTCAGACAGCATGAGAGAAACAAATAGTTTTATGTCTATTATTTGTCCTTTTTTGGGAGTAAAAATAAGTATTGAGACAGTTCTGTGAATATCTTCATGATATTCAATATTGTGATACAACTCAGTGAACACCCTAAGGTGAATACACTGTGAATGAATACACTTTATTATCAAGTCTAACTTAAATTATAGCTGATCTCACTTTTTTTTAAAAAGAGAAATCAGAAACAAAAGTTGACAAAATTTATCAGTCATTATTTTCAATTGAATGATTTCTGAATACTGTTATGAAACAATCGATTGTATTTGAAAACTGCTTCATTAAAATTCCAAATAAAGTTCTAAACGTCTTGACAATCTTTGATATCTTGTTTATTATTACAGGTCAAATATCATAAAATGTCAGACCTTTTAGGGTAATTTTTCTGTGAATTTAGGACCTAGTGAAAACTCACAAAAAAAACGATTATTAAAAAAATTATTTTAAAAAATCATTAGTAACCACACTGTAACCATCCTGTAGTACAATATAACAAATTAAGCACAAATGAGTCTAAATATATGATTTTCAGCTACTAAAATGTTAATGCATCAAACTATTTCTTATATTTTAGACCTTGTTAAACCCTTAAAGTATTTTAGTATTTTAAACCCTTAAAGTAGTATTATTGGGAAATTATAATAAATTTATTTATACTACATGTATTTATTTTTTTTATTTATTATTGCTTTAACATGAATTCAATAATAGTTCCAGAATAGTACATTTTTGCGTGTTACGAATTTAATTGACCAGACATTAGAAATAACTATCTGAAGAAATGGTCATAAGCACTTCCTTTGTTATTCACACCTGTTAACATCATATGTTCACTTCTGTTATATATCCAGCTCTACTTATTCTCAGACAAGTAAATGAACTCAGCTTGCAATAAACAAAGATTTATTAGCAGTTTCCAGTGACTACATTTTGTTGGTTTTATTTTGTAAAGCCTGCATATCTGTATATTTTAAGTAAACATTTGA